GGTGCATGAGTTCAGAATCCAGGATTGAGCCATTAGGTAGATCTCTCCCATGCTTCGAAGTCTTCATCATCAGGTTTTGGTTTAGGTAAGGATCCATCAACAATCTTCATTTTGTTCTTAGCACCTAGTGCAATCTTCATTGATTTGTTCCATGAATGAAAATTATGGCCATTCAACTGTGGATTAACCAACGCTGAGTTCAGATTATCTCTTGATCTGATGTAGAAAGGACTAGTCATATCTTCCATGACTGATCGCTTGTTCTGAGGCATTCTGCAGATTTGTGGATTAGAAAACTATGGAAATTCAATGTTGATTGAATAACTTTAAGCGGATTTCTAAGAATCTCTCTGACACCATGATGAATTCTAAAGAAATCATTCATGCAAAACGTATATTTGCGTAAAGGAAGAAAAGATGGAAGAACGTCATCTTATTGACTGAAGAAGAAGAGTTAATGCGTACAAGAGCTAAAAACTAACTTGACTAAAAGTCTAAGAAAGATATAAATAGTAGTTTGTACATGTAACTGATCTGTAACTAACTATCTATACTAGAACTTTCTAGAAAGATCATTTATATCTTCACGTGTGCAAGCTCTTGTATGTTGCCTTTATTTGGTGTAATATCCAGTTCTTTGTTACTGCTGCTTGTTCTTGTGTGTGTATGCCAACAGATATGCAATGGGATTTGTGGCTTAGAAACTGCTTTGGAATATGAGAGAATTCCCTAAATAGGAGTAAAAACGTTTTGAATATAACCTCACTAAATACGTGATGATCATATATTACGAGTTCGTGTGTCACTAGACACTAGGTACTACTCTAGTGTTGGCCCCATCGCGGTCCTCATTTAACTGTAATATCTACACTAGCTACTAAACGATTTATATAATAAGAACCGGTCATGGGTTAGTTTTTTTATGACTACTAATATGTCTATAGTCTTCACTAATAGTTCAATAACAAACATGCTTTGTGGATGTATCTTCCCCTACATTTATGTATGACGAGTGTGCCAAAGACCATTATCTATTCCACTCCAATCGGTTTATAACCTTATAAGATAATTCACAAAGAGGGAGCAATGGAGCACCACAAGCTCAACAAGCATCATAGTCGCATTCATACATAACGATAACTCAATTCACTTCATTTATAAATTCTTAAGTATCCTTAATAATAAAATTCATGATTTTATTTATCTCATCCTCAATCCACGAGTTATAAACACATAAAAAAGCCAAATCTTCACCTCAAAGATTGTACTTTCTATCCTCCCGAAACTTGGTCAACTTTAGTCAAGTGCGGTCAAACTGCTCCTCTTGGCCGTACATAGGTAAAAAGTTAAGCAGCTTTTGAGTTCTGAAACATGAAAGCAAGTTCCTATTAAGCATGTTCCTAATAAAATTTAATACTACTATTCTCTATGGCTTTTCTGCACTTCTAAATGTGTATAATTTTAATTTCATCCACTAATCAAATAAAACTCCCAACAAAGAAGAATAACTAAAGAATCAACAAAAAACTATGTTAAAAGTTTACTAGTATTCATGTTTATTCTCATTTCTTCTTCTTTCTGTTTCCTTTTTCTCCTTCTCTCTTCTTTTCTCATCCTCCTCTTTGTGTGACCTCTTTGTTTAGAAAACTTACAAATTATCACATCTAAAGTTATTATGGTTACTACATTCATGGTCACTTATGTGCAAAACTGAACATAACAATAATCATTAAAAGTTACCGATTAGGCTACTAATTTATGGCTTCGGGTTATTAAGAATTTACCTTCATTATGTTTTATAATTTCCTCTGTGCTTAGGAATTAGGACCTACCATTATACTCCGTACATTTTACTTTGTACCCTTCTATCTGCCAGTATTGTAACGTATGCAAATTGCACAAGTGTATAAGCATGTTTTCAATCTAAAATGGTACTCGAGAGAGGATGTATCTATTCATACTAGATCTGCAAGAGTTTACTTAGTGGTGGAACCGGGTTGGTCCGGTCACCTGGTCGCAACAATATTTTGATGAGGCTCGGGCCTGATCCGCTATTTTCCGGGTCATGGCCGGTTCCGGGTACCCGAGCGGTCTAGTACCGATCCTAGACTCGTTATGTTTTTTACAAGTTTTAGGTAATAATGAAAAATGGTCGGTCCCAGACTGAAACTAGGACCGGAACCACCCGGTTCAACCCAAATATTGGAATCCGGGACTGGGTATCCTTTTTACCTTGTGTCCCTACCGGCAGGGATGGAGCTGGTGTTGTTCAAGAGTGTTCATTTATTTTCAAAACATCTTCATTTGGTTAGTGTTTAGAAAATAGAACTCCACCGTTTCTCCCTAAATCTCACCCGTGATGCAGAAGTAGCTAGCTATATTTATTAGTGTGAACAACAAGGTTTTTTAAAAATTGCCCTGCTTATGAAATTGATAATTAATACGTAGTACTCCCTCCGTCCCACTATGATTGTCTCATTTTACCTTTTCGGTCCGTCCCACTAAAATTGTCTCATACCTTATTTGGTAAAATTTGTGTGGTTCTAAAGCATTCTTACTTTATTCCTACTTTATCAATTTAATATCAACCGCATAAACCCACTTTTATTAATAACCGTGTCACTTTCTCTTGTCCCAAACTTAGGGGGACGGAGGTAGTATGAGTATTCATTTTAATTTCAATTCAATTTGAACACCCAAATTATAAACTATAAAGGCTAAATTCGCCACTGTCTTGTCGGATACCCAGTCTTGACCAGGACCGGAAAAACCAACTCGGTCCAGTCCCAAACAATACTGAACCTGGTTTTGGACCGTACTGGTCTACTGGACCTTCATGAATTACTCATTACGGTTGATCCGATGAATTCCACCACACAACTACACGGTTAACGTGAAAACCAAGTCACCAACGGAATTAGCAATTTAGAGTTCCTAAAACAGGATTTAGTACCATAAAAAAACAGGATTTAGTATGCCTTAATAAAATAATATACTACGCCTATTCGAAGAGGAAAACAATGCAATTCCTAATTTAGAAAATTTATAATGTGTTACGCCTCTTAAGAGAACTTCCTCAAAATCTTAACGATCAATACTAGTAGGGGTGTATTGTATTAGGATTTATGGGCAAAATTTTAAAAGTACATGGATTTTAAAAGTTTAGGTGTATTCAATGTGGACTTTTAAAAGTCCACAAAAGTCTAGGTGTATTCAATTCAGACTTTTAAAAGTCTATAAAAGTCTAGGCGTATTCAAATTTCCGTTCATTCTTATTGACTTCTAAAATCATGGATTCTCGTGGACTTTTAACTCATTTTTAGTGCAAAAATTCTCTACAATTGTCTCTTCTCCTCACCAAAGATTTCAGTGGACTTTTCTTATATCGGTTCTTCATCCCGTCCCACCCCATTCCTCCTCTCCCTCCTAGGGATGGACCGGGCCAGACCCGGTTTCTGTTCCGAGTCGGGCCCGGCCGGGCTTGGAATTTTTTGGGTAAGGCCCGGGACCAGCCCGGGAGTCTACCGGTATCGGGCCGGGCCAGTTCCGGGTTGGGCCGGGCTGGTTCATTTTTTTCGGTTTTCTTATATATTCCAACCCTCACCCCCCAAACCCCTCCAAAACACCCAGCCTACCTACCATAGGCCCAACCCCCCCCCCCCCCCCCACCCACCCAAAAAAAAAAAATAAGGCCCGGACCGGCCGGGCTGATCCTCAAATATGCAGTTCCGGAACCGCCCCAATTAATCCCCCCGGGTCGGGCCTAGGCCCGGTACCGATCCAATGGGCCGGGTCGGACCCGCACAGTGGCGGGCCGGGCCGGGTCGGACCCGCACAGTGGCGGCCGGGCCGGGTCCCGGGCCAGTCAGACCGGCCTCGGGCCAAGCCTACTCCCCCCCCTCCCCCAACTCTACTCTTCTTTAGCCAAGCCACACCTTCCTCTTCAATCTTTCTTCTTTTTCTTCTTCAACCCAGCTCGCCCACCCCTCTCTTTCCATTCTTCTTCTTCTTCTTCTTCTTCTTTAGCTTGCCGTCCCCAGTCCACCCCGTCAATTCAGTAATCCTATATTGATTCGATTCTAGAAGTTTATAGAAGAACCGATATAAGAATCGATAGTATTACATCAATGCAATTCTGATACGTCATCAGTTAACCATTAAGAAAATAAATATTTTAACTACCACTTTCTTTCATCGTTAAATCGCTTAACACATATAAATATAATTTCAAATTAATAAATATATATCCATAAATACATATACAAGTTTTTACAAGATAGAAGTTAAAAGAAAACAATCACTAAGTAGAAAAGCTCGATTGCATTTATGCTTGTACCACATGTAGCAATGAGTGTAACGCTTGTGTAACGATTAATGTTCTTAATCATTAATAAAATGGCCAAAATTCTCGAGCATTTTTGAAACTTTGATTTTTTTTAATAAAAATGAATTTGAATTCTTATGCTTCATTTATTTTTGTAGAACTTTGTCTTGCTATTTGAATTACATTTTTTCATTTATTTATTTATTTATTTATTTATTTATTTATTTACTTACTTATTTATTTCTTATCGTACTCCGTATTATATAGAGGAAATCACTCACGGTAGGACTAAAACATAGCATTATTCTTAAAGTATGATTAAATGTTTGGTTTTTCTTAAATGGGAATAAATATTACATATTCACCCCTAATTTAATTAATTAATTAATATAATTAATTGTTCCCTTTCAGAACCAAAGCCATTTTGTTGGTGACGCGTCAGTCCGATGACGACAGCGGGGAACTCCGGTGATGGATGTGGACAGGTCACAGGCATATCGGTAGCGACAATCTAGGTGAAAATTTTGACGAACAACAGTGGCGGTCCGCATTTAAAAGTCTATGGACTTTTTGAAAGTCAATAAACTTATCCATGGATTTAAAAGTCCATAGAATTCATTCATAAAAAAGTCTATGGATTTAAAAGTCCATTGACTTTTTTAAAAGTCCATGGATTAAAAAAAGTCCACAACAATCCAAATTGAATACACCCCCCTAGATTTAACTAAAATAAAACTAAATTTAAATATACTAATTGAGTAGCACAAACTATATTTACAACAAAGAATTTGTTTGTATAAACTAACGACAAAAATGGAATAAAATAAAGAAATTAAACGCTTTATACGAAAACTAGACATCCTAGCACGTTTTCTTATATCAAATCGAACTTTGTTGCAATTGGGTCACGCAGTTTCTTCGCCGGGTGAGGACTTTCCACCTCATCTTCGCCTGAAACAGGGCACATTCCGGTGTAGGCAGGGAGGTTCAGATCAAAGCTGCGGTGGCTGTTGGTGGACCCCGCTCCCTCCGAACACGTCACAGCAACGCCGCCTCTGGCGCCGTGGCCGACGGTGCCTTCGTAGTGGCGCCTCTTGTGGCCGCCCAGGGCCTGCCCGGTGGGAAAGCACTTGTGGCAGATGGAGCACTCGTGGGTCCTTCCACCGGCGCCGGCACCGGAGGTGGTGGAGGAATTCGATTGATCATCGCCGCCGCCTCCGGCCTGCTTACGGTGGCTTGCCTTGTGCCCTCCTAGTGCCTGGTAAGACCCGAACGCCTTTTCGCAAACAGAGCACTTGTACATGAGCCTCTGCTCCGCCGCCTCCGCTGCACCCGCCGCCGCCGCAAGCGGCGGCTGTAGGCACCGCTTTGAATCCGATTCCGGTTTAGACGAAGACCCATCACCGCTTCGAGCGAGCATGATAAGGCAGAGAGCCAGATACTCTTCCTCGGTGGGCTGAAGGTCATCGCTGCGCTGCCGTTTGGATCGCTTCCCCGTTGACCACCGCTGATCGAAGCTGGTGGTGGCGGTGTCGAATTGAAAGACTGACGGCGGCGGAGTGGTCGGAGAGTTCAGAGCCTGGAGAGCCATATCGGAAAGAGTAGCTGAGATGAGAGTTTGTTAATAAAGGTGAAAGAAGTTGTGCGGGTCTGGAAGAAGTTGGAAAAAAGGCGTATAAATAGATGACGGAATTGGAGGAAGTTGCGTGAGTGAAGTGATATGGAAGTGAGACAGTTGCTCAAGTAATTGCTCTAGTAGTGCTTCTATGTAGGCGATGATATTTTACTGCCCTTTAATATAGGGTGAAATTAGACAAGAGAAGCATCTTCAATAACCCCTGCAAAGTCTACATGTGAGTGTGTGACATGTGTATACAACAAAATTTATATCGGGTTCTAAACCTCACAAGTGTAATGATAGGTTACTATGTAGAAATGTAGAGTTTTTGCAAGTACTTGAGCTAGAGTCCTACTCAAATACTCATTGTCTGTTAACTTGCAATTTAAATTTTATTTGCATCCTCTCAGTTAATGGGGTTTAGTTAATAGTTTCTATGTTTCTGTCCTAAATTAATGATGTGTTTTTATGGATTATCTCAAATTGAATGTTTTATTTTCGGTTTTATTAAGAAGAGAACCAAATTTCAATCAAAATTTGCGGGAGTATCATTTCCGCATCTCAAACGTTAATTATGTGTGTGGACAATGCACTTTGGATTAAAGTATTAAACACCTATGTTTGTCACCAATTGTCATGTCATCTAACTATCTAAGAATGTCCGTAAAAAAAAACTATCTAAGATTGAATCTTGGTTAACCTCTTTTACCTTTTGTATTGTGTGCAATTGCTATTACATATTATATTCAAGTCTTGTGCAGTATTTGATTGAGTTTGGTTTAAATTAAGGTATATTTTTGTTTGATCTAATTTGTTTAGATCTGTTCAAATTTAAATTAAACTTCACCACTAAATAGTTCATAACTTCAAGGTGAGTGCAAACACACGTACTCTCATGTGATATATATCCCATGAATAGAAATTCAAATACTATATGATATGGGAGAAGGTTGCACAATAATTTATAAGGCAAAAGTTCGAAATTATAATATTTTTTGCTCTAAATGGTTAATATAAATAGAGTTATTATTATGCTTATGAAAATTGTATCATATACACCACACGGCTCATTTACCAGTTAAATTGTGTCAACCTATTCCCTTATGTCTTTTGTTGTTTTCATTGTGTGATTTGTGCCTACACATTTCAATTGGTGTATGTTGACTTTATGATGGTCAACACCACCATAGGAGACTATAAATGGTCAAAGACTAGTTGCTCGACCTTTTGGCACCACCATGTAACGTGATTTTGCACCTTGAGGCAGTGTCAGAGCACTGGAGTGAGTCACTCGGTTGGCCCCTCTCTAGCTCCACTCATGATGTCTGCACCAATACTGTTAATTGTGAGGATGTTTCAATGTCTCATATGAATCTATCTTGACTTTAGAGATTATTAAGTGAAGTGTTAAATGAAATGTGTCCACTAATTGTTTACTATATGATTTTAATATAATTGTCATCTAACTGCAAGATTATAGTTAAGCGAACCAAGGCGGCAAGGAGTATGTCTCTCTAGTTTGAGTGAAGATCAGAATATTTATAATTTAATCAATAACTTATCCACATGCCCATTATTGATCACAAAATCCACAAATTATTAATTATGTCATGTAACTAACAATTTGTATCCATATTAATTAATGATTTTTATTTATCGGCACAAACTATTTCAGATTAGAAAAAACTCCTCTTTGATGACAGCATTTAGGTAAAAGTTCGGTTGAATGCTGTATATTCCAATTTAAAAAATTCTTATTGTAGATAAACTTATACATGAACATACTATACAATCCTTTCAAAAAATTATGAGAAATTATCTGATCTGGAAGTAAATGACTTTTTTTGGAAGTGGAAGTTAGATGGATGTAAAATAGATATGGATGTAGTCATTTAATTTTTCTTGATATAAAAAACAACTCTGAATCTATATATTGTATTTTAGTTATAGTCTTCTAAATCTCATTTATAAACTCAAATATTAGCGCCATCAAATAGAAGTTCTTACATGGTGTACCACGTGAAAGTATGCCAATTGTTAATATCCCGCATTCATTTTCTTCTTTTAGTTTCATATTCATTACTCCCTCCGTCCCAAAATGATGGTCCTGTATTTCCTTTTTGAGATGTCCCAAAATGATGATATTGTTTCCCAGGGCCGTATATTAGCCTGTGCAAGCTGTGCTTTTGCACAAGGCCTCCAAAAAAAGTAGGCCTAATTTTTTAGAAAAATATAGTGTATTAAATATTTACTGTATAAATGTATGAAAAAATATATAGAAGCTTCAACAGAATGACTATTAAAGCTCAAACACCTCTGCAACTCGTGAGTCTCAAGTCCCAATTGGCTGGCAAATGTGATTCAAGTTAGCGACTGAAATACATAGCTAATTAGCTTCCTATCCTTACAAAGTCATTTTTGCAGCAAATCGGTACTTTGATCTTGCCACAATGGTCAAACTAAAATAAATTAATACTCCGTATACTTTTTCTTCTCTCATTTCTTAATTTATAATGATTTCAATTATTTTATTTCAATTTTTTATGTCTAATTTTAGTGACTTTTCATTTTCTGACTTATTCTAGTCTTCCAAAAATCAAATTGTTTCTATCTTTTTAACATCTACTTGTGATTGACTTATTGACTCCTTGTTGATTAATTAATTTAAATTAAATTGTGATTGACTTATTGACTCCTTGTTGATTATTTAATTTAAATTACCGAACTTTTGAATTTTTAACAATATAAACTTATCCCAATTAATCGAATTTTGAACGATATCAACTTACATATCCTGAGTAATGAAAAGTATGAATTTAGTTACAAAAAATTGAAGGAAAACGAAAACTTAAAGCGTTAGTGAAGTCCCAAATAGGAGCTCCTGATGAATTTATCAAAAAAAAAAAATCATGTAAAAATCAGTAATGTTTGAATATAAGGCCTTATTTGTGAAAATAGCACGGGGCCTCTAAATTGGTTAAGACGGCCCTGTTGTTTCCTTTTTGGTAAAGAACTAAAAGTGTATTACCATTTATACTCTTCCTTTTTAATGAACAGTAAAAGTAAAAGGATGAACAACACAATAAAATAAGGTTCTTTAATCTTTCTATCACGCTTTCTTATTCTTTGTGCCCAAAAGAAATCAGACCGAGGGAGTAACATGTTACGTAGTATTATTAAAGGATAAGTCAAAATCCAACGCTCGATCGAGTATATTTTAGCACACTTGATAGGAGTAGTGCACATGACTGGTCAATCCTAATCGGTGAGACAATAATGAGTGGTATTTTTTTTTTTTGAAAGGGGTAATTTTTGTATTAAGAAATTAACTTTTGACCCATAAGAAAATTATTGAATGAAGCTTGAGAGAAGGCTTGTTTTCACTTGGAGAGTGGGTGCTTAAGGTGGAAGCAATCGAGCAAGAGAATATGGACCAAAACCCACTTGTAGACTGGCTGCCTAAGGACTGCGTCAAAAGTCAAACATCTAAATTAATACCCACACGCTCATGTATCCCAGTATTAATAATTTATTAGGGCCGTAAATGGTGTTCAACAAGCCAGAAGTGGGTGGATTTTGAGTATGGTGCACCGGAAATTGTGATAACTATGTTTTTGTTGACATTATGATATGCAGATTTATCGCAATGATATCCGTATTTTCTTCATCCACATAAACTTTTATATTAATATTTTTTTTGAACTCCAACTGCCAGATATATTAATTCACCAAATCATTCGCCAACAGGCTTACAATAAAGTCAGGAATACTATCATACCAGCAACCTTGACCCGAGACTGACACGTGTGCCCTTGCTAAAGCATGGGCAACACGATTCGCGGACCGTTTACAAAAGGAGACACTAAAGTCACTCTTATCTTTTAGTAAATACCTAATATCATCAAGAATAAGAAAAAGGTAAGAAGAACCTTCCTCATTTTTTAGCTCCTGGACCACCGAGAGAGCATCCGTCTCCACCTCCACCTGTGACCAACCTGCCTCAGCCGCTCCCATTAAAGCATCCCGAACTCCTATTGCTTCTGTTTCCACCACCGACCACCCAGCTGTTTCGGAGGCCCCTCTTGCCTTCAAAAAATTGCCATAATGGTCCCATGCCATCCATCCCCAGGCCCTAGTATGTGTGCCTTCGTCCACTGCCCCATCAACATTAATCTTTATAAAACCCTCTTGCGGACGTTTCCAAACTGTCAAGGAATTATTTTCTCTCCTAGGCCGATCTGAACTCTCAGGGCCTTGCGCATCTCTCCATCTCGAGATGATTCCTGCTGCTGAGTTAATAACACCCGTCGCTCCTTGCCATTTCTCCTTCCAGACCCACCCATTTCTCCTCTTCCACAAGCTCCATAAAATAACTATGAATCTGCATCGGTCTTCCCCATTTTGTCCACCCAGGTGCCGCCAGATCCACGTATTCACCGACTCTGTCGGGCTACTCAAATCAACCCCCACCTTGTTCCAGACCTCTCTTGCTCTTTCGCAGGCTCGTAAAGCATGATCAATATCTTCAGTCACATCGCCACACACTTTGCACCCGACTAGCACATGCACACCTTTTTCCTCACATTATCAACTGTAGGAAGAGAGCCATCAATAGCCTGCCACGCAAAATATTTGAGCTTCGGTGGGATATGCAAATCCCATAACTTAGCCAAATCAGTCCCATCCCCGGCTTGCACCTCCCCTGTGAGAAAACGGTAACAGCTTTTCACAGAAAACTTCCCACTCCTCTCTCCGTTCCACCAGTACCCATCCTCCCTATCATAAGAGCTAATGGGAATACTCAAAATCTTCTGTCTGTCCTCCGCATTAAAAATATTAGAAATTCTCTCTTTGTTCCAATTTTTCCCAGTTATATCGCGCAGAGCAGCAACATTCATGTCTCTAATTCCAGTTGGTCTAGCCGATGAAACCCGACCTTCTCCCTCACCCGGCAGCCACGCATCAGCCCACACCTGAACCTCAATCCCATTTCCAACTCTCCTACGAATATTATTTTTGAGAATATTTTGTGTCTCAACAATACTCCTCTAGATAAAAGATGGGTTATTCCCCACTAGAGCATATAAAAAGTCCGAGTTTGGGTAATACCTGTCCTTCAAAACTCTGCACATCAAACTAGAGGGATCTGTCACCAGCTTCCATCCCTGCTTAGCTAACATTGCCAAATTAAAATCCCTTATTCTCCGAAACCCAAGACCCCCCAACTGTTTAGGCTTACACAGAGCCTCCCAACGCCTCCACCTTAACCCTTTCTGCTCAAACTTAGAGCCCCTCCACCAAAAGCCATTCATTAATTTTTCAATATCGTCACAAATATTATTAGGTAGAAGAAAAACATTCATTGCATAGTTGGGCATTGCCTGAATCACATTTTTTAGGAGAACTGCTCTACCTGCCCTGGATAAAAATCTATTGTTCCAG